ACATCATTAAGAGTAAAAATAAAACCCATAGTGGGAGAAGGCATTTATAATGCATGTATTTGACCCAGGCTTCATCTCCAGAATATATATGTAGGGAGAATATAGCAAATATTCCCTGGAATCAATAAAACAAGACAAGCAACTCAATAGAAAAATAGGCAGAGCACTTGAAGAGGCACTTCACACACACACACACGCGCGCACACACACACACACACACACAAAGACATCCAAATGGCCAAAAAATATATGAAACAGTGCTCAATTTCATTTGTTAGCAGGGAAATGCAAATTAAAATTACAATATGATGCTGCTGTATACCTACCAGAATAGCTAAAAGGACAAAAACAGAAAATTCCAACGGTTGGTGAAAATGTCAAGCAAACACATCGCTCATATACTGCTGGTAGGAGGGTAAATTGGTACAATCACTAAAATATTTGGCAATATGCATGAAGGTTAAATACACACACACACACACACACACACACACACACACACACACACTGACCCAGCAATTCCACTTCTATGTATATACCCAAGAGAAATGTGTGCATGTGTATGTTCACCAGAAGAAATGTATTAGAATGTTCATAGCCCAAACAGAAATAGCAAAAATCTGGAAATCATCACAATGCCTAATAATTAAGTAGGTAAACAAATTATATATTTACACAATTGAATTCTGTATAGTAACAGACAGGCACAACCAACATCTTTACACAACAGCATAGATGGGTCTCACTAATATAATACTGTTCAAGCAAAAGAAGTCAGATAGGTTACGTAAAGTACAAAAGGAGGTCGAATTAATTTCTGCACTGAAAAGCCAGGATAGGCTTTCTGCTGGGGTGGGAGTGATTGAGAGGGAGCACAGGAGATCTGGGGTACTGGTAATGAACTGGGAGCTCTACACAGTGTACTCTTTTGTGAAAATTCTTCTGGTATGTACCTGTGTGTATACATTCCCTGCATGTATATTGAATATGCATTCCCTGCATGTGTAATGAACTTCAATAAAAATTGAAATATATAAATGGAGACACCTCATAATTATAAAACTATTAACAATTTATAAAACAACTTACATGAAAATTTATAAAATGCCCCAATCTATTGTCCATGTGTTGTTAAACAGAGATACGTTTTTTAAAGACATTCATAAAAGATGACGATAAGGAACAACAAATGTAACAGACACATATAAAAACAAGGTGAAAGTTTTAATATGGGATAAAACACAATTTAAGGTGAAAATTACATGAGGAAAGATGAATTGAATATTACACATACTGAATATTATACATATGAATATTATACATACATAAGTAAAGAAAATATAAGGATCAGGCACATGTAGGCACCTAAAAAGTAATCTCAAATACATAAGGCAATAACAGAAAGAACCATAGGGAGAAATAAACAGGTTTAGCTGGAGAATGTCATACATCTATTTCTGAAACTGAGAGATCAAGTAGACAAAATAAACAGAAGTTGGACAATTTGATTAACACTATAAATAAGGTCATACTAATACATTTATACTCAACAAAGAGAGAATACAAGTCTTATGACTCATCATTTCCTCTTACATCTCATTGACAAGAACTTTGTAATATAATTGTACCTAACTGCAAAGAAGTTGGGAAATGTTATCTTTCACTCACATGTCCTATGTAAAGCTGAGAGATTTGTTACTGAGGTTAATAGAGGAGAAAGGAGACCCACAGCAGATATGATTAACAAAACACTGGTTATTTACAAAGACTAACACAATGGACATCTAGCAAGACTTACAATGGGGAAAGAAGAAATAATGTATAAATAAATAAATAAGATACCAATAGTTTAAAATATAATTTTATAAAGATTTACAACAATAAAATTAAGAACCTTAAAGAAATGGACAAAAATTTGTAAAAATATAAAATGTCAAAATTAAAATGAGAAAAAATAAATAATTTAAAGATACAAAAGCCATTAAAAATTGAAAAGGTAATCAAAGACATTCTTCCTTTAAAAAGTCCATGTTTAGATGAGCCTTATAATTATTCTCTACCAAATTTTACAGGAACAAATCATTCTTACAGAAATTTCTACAGTAAAAAAAGTAAAACCTGTTCAACTTCTTTTTAGTAAAAGCTCTTATCAGCTGGGTGTCAAAACCAGATAAGAGAAGAACAAACAAAGATATTCACATATGAATATATATATTTTTATATTAACCAATACAATTCTACTGCTTATTTAAGACAACTAATAAATTATACCAAAAAAGTTTGTTTCAGAAATTCAAGAATGGTTTGAAATCAGAAAGTCAATCAATGTAGTTCACTATATCTGTAGATCAAAGGCAAAAAGTTATATAATTTTCTGAATAGATGCAGAAAGTACATTTAATAAAGTTCAAAACCTGTTTATCATTTTTAAAAACAAAAAGAGTTCTTGATGTTGCAAAAGAAGAAATGAAATTGCCATTACTTCCAGATGAAACAATTATCTGAATAGAAATCTCCACAGCATTAATATACAATTATAAAAACTAATAAAGAAGCTAAGCTACATATTTGAACACAAAGCAACCATATAAAGCAATAGCTTTCTTTTAAGACACCAAAAATAAATTCAAAAATATTTTCAAATATTAAGACATCAGGCTCAATAGTAACAAATTTTATACTATCTGGAAATTTAATGAAGAATGCACAAGTCATTTGTAGAGACATAAATCTCCAATGAATGACATTAAAGAAGACTTGAATAAATGCAAAGAACATCACATTTATATTAGGGACAATTTAACATTCTAAAGATGATAGCTGTCTGAAATGCATAGTTTAGATATAATGCAATAAGAATTCCAGGGGAATGTTTAGGAGCTTCATATGCTGATTTTAAACCTTATATAGATCAACACAAGTTGAAGAATAGCTAAGATGTTTTTAAAAAAGAGACTGAGTGTGAGGTAGGAATGAGGGTTGTTGGTGGAGGGTACCTTGCCCTACTAGATGCTAACCCCTACTAGGTGATGGTGAGAATAATGAGATTATTATGATGAGATTATTATTATTAGATGATGATGATTCTTTTGTATAGTAATGTATTTTTTCCATTGCTCTTCATTCCTTCCCACATCTCGAAACTTCCATCTGCGAGCATTTTCCTTCTGCCTGAAGAATACCTTTGTATATTTTTCAATGTGAGTCTGAAGCGGACAAATTCTGTATTTTTCCAAAAAAGGCTTTATCACTTTCATTTGCATGGGATATTTTTTGCTAGATATCAGCAGAATTAAACAGAGGCAATAATTTTTCTTTAATTTTGAAAATATTGTTTTATTGCCTTTTTTTGTTTATGGGGACACCTCATAATTATAAAACTATTAAAATGTATAAAACAACTTATATGAAAATGTATAAAACGCCCCAATCTGTTGTCTACGTGTTGTTAAACAAAAACATAATTTTTAAAGACAGCTATCTACAGTAGCAGATCCAGGTATTGTGTAGCCTAAAGATTACAAAATGTGGGAAAGCTGATTTAAGAAAGGGAACATAAACTTTGGTTCAAAAGTGAATATTTATTTAGAATGAGAGAATAAATCACAAAAAATTACAAATTTATAAAAAACTAAAAATAATACAAATATCAAAAATCTTAAAAAGGCAAAATAATATTTTATTAATTAACTGCCTAAAAAGACTAGAATACATTTTCCTCCTTTTTTTTTTTTTTCCTACATATTTTTTGTGTATCTTCATATAACTATCTTTTATAAAGAGTTTGGAAAGTTCTTCTAACATGATTGGAATTTATTTTTTGTTACTGATTGTTTATAGCAGTTTCTTTAGTGCCACTCTTACTGGTAACGTAGAAAAAAAAATGTTTATGATTGTTGCCAAAATTGGGGAAACCCTTATCAATTTTCTCTCACATATTAGATATAAGATGTGGAAGAATTTTCCATTGACTAGATTCTGCTTCTGTATGTTCCAAACCTTGTGTTTGCTCATTCCTTTTTTTGTTTTTCTCTACTATCCACATTCTTCCACTGCCAACCATTACAAGGCACATGCAGACTTTGATGCAACCTTTGACCTTATACCTCTGTGTGGTACTGAGAACTGTTTCTAAACCATAAGGATATATGTGAAAGTAACCAAGAACCACACAACTATATCCCATTAAACCAAAACTAAATAAATCCCCAACTCACCTTCACATCTGCCTGATTCCCAAAACTCCTAGAACTTCTCTAACACCACCCATCACAGTGATTAGTACATGCAGGGAACTTGGAATGGAAAAGGAGTGGTCTTAACAGTTAGAGTTAAAATTTCTTACTAGCAAATTTTATAAGAGCTTTTGACCACATAAGCAAATGCCCAAGAAGGTCCCATGTAAGTGAAGAACACTGAAGTTTAAGCCTCATTGCTATCACCAAAATGTATCTCTGGCAGCCTCTTATTTTTGCCCCTTCATAGATTATTTTTCTTCTTTTTCTGTCTACCTTTAATCTTTTTATTTGTCTTTCATTTTCAGCAATTTTACTCTGATGTGCTCAAGTATAATTTTCTTTTGATTTATCCTGCTTGGAGTTTTCAAGACTTCTTAAACATGAAACTTTAATTTTTTTGTGAGTTAAAGAAAATTCTCAGCCATTATCTTTAAAATATCATTTCTGTTTAATACTGTCTATCCTCTCCTTCTGGTACTCTATAATTTTCATGTGATTGAAATTTATCACAAGAATGATTTTCTTAATTCTTTTTTATACTTTCCAATTCTCTACCAATGTTCACAGTTTTATCTTTTATTTCTTTGAGCAAAGTAAGCATAGTTCTTCCAAAGTTTATATTCTGGTTCCTGAATCAACTATGGGTCTGTTTTTATTGTATGTTGTTTCTCTCTCTTTTTTTTTTTTTTTTTTGCGTGTGTGTGTGTGTGTGTGTGTGTGTGTGTGTGTTCTGAAACACAACACAGAAAATTCTGTGTCTTCTTTTATGTCTGGTCATTATTTTTTAATGACTCTGACATTGTAAATTAAAAATTATAAAATTACTTTAACCCTGGGACAATGTTATCTTCCTTCAAATGGATTCATGTTGCTTTTGACAGTCTTCTAGATTTCCCTAGCAAAACTGCAACCCCTAAATCCAATTTCAGAGATGATTATGAATTAAAGTTGGGTTTCAGACCATTCAAGGACCAGTTTGTTTCTGGTTGACCATTCTTCTAGGGATTAGTCCTTCTGCATCCTGACCCAAACCTGGGAGGGTTACCAGGGTTCCTCTTCCTTGGCAGGTTCTGAGTTCTAGCCCTCAAAACTATTTGCAGCTTTACTCACTTCTCAGCTTCTCAGCCACCTCTTGTGGAATTGAAAGATGCCTCTAGAAGAAAAACTTTTAAAAGTCCAAGTTCATTTTTCAGTTTTACCTCCTGAGCTTATTCTCATAACTCTTCACTCCCTTGTTATCTCTCTGCTACCTTCAAACACATGTTTTAAAATATATTTTTATTTATTTTTTCTAGGCATTCCTAATGGGAAGAATTAAGGTCTGAATTATCTTGTCTATATTTTTGAAAGTCCAAGTCCCCCAAAGCCAAACTTGTTTCAGTGTGCTATGATATTTATAAGTATGATGACACCTTCAAAGCTCTCTATTCAAGGAGATGAAAAACCTCAAACAGATGGATTTCATGGAATTACTAACCAGCTGCTGACTACTCAAAATATTCTAATTATCTATATTAGTGTGGATTGATCAAGTCATTGAACTCTTTTAGTACAGAAATCCAGGCCGCGATCCCTAAGCAATCTTCTGGTGGCAAGACCTTCTCTAACCCATATTTCTATCTAAGCTAAGATTCCCAAAACCAAGCAAAGCTTGGGATGCACATTCACACCTAAATTCATCATCCAAGGCTTTGCGCCTCTCTGCCCATGTGCAAGAGATTCCAGATCCTGAGCATCTGCCCAGTGTCAGTCTGTCCCCACCCATCCTAGACATGCTTACTTAAGGGAATCTCAGCCCACATGCTTCCTCCCTCTCCTTGAGCTCCCTCCCCACCTGTTAGTTGCAGCTCAGGATATATACGTTTAATTAATTCGGCTTTACCTCCAACCGGTAAATAGTGGGAGAAGTGTCAGATTTACATGGTGGATAAATAATGAGGGATTTCCCAAGAGATTCTGTCCTGGTGAAAGAGGGTAACTGTAATTTTCAGCTGTGAGTAATTGTACATAATATAATCCTAAATGATTTTTCTTCTGTAATTTCATTAGAGTTTAGAAATTTAATTAGATTTTGAATCACTCTGAAATAAAGTAGCAAAACACCGAGAGACTGAGAGCAGTGGTTATTTTGTCCTTTGAGGCCACATTCTTGGTCTCAAATTGGCATGTCTTCATTAGGAGGAAGTTTGCAGAACTTCTTGATATATTATTGTCTTTCAGAATGGACTCTGAATAGGTCTTCGGAGAGCATTAGAAGAGTACACAATTATTATGCACGCTCTTCTTGAGGTTTAAGATCATCTGCCTTGCATATACTTAATAAAAATATGTCTCTAAAGTTGTTTAAGAAACTGTGGAGATAGGAAAGATGTTCCTTGAACGCCCCAATGCTGTTCCTGGATTATTAGCAACTACCTGTACATTATGATGCAGTGAGGGGCTGTTTGCTTAACTTTAATGATTATGTAAGGTTTATGGTTATTTTTATTGCTACAACATATGAACTGTCATGGTGGCTGTAATTAGAGGCAAGCTAAAGTGTTACTGTTACTATCCTCTGGGACCAGGAGGGAATGACTTCCTTTGTATCAACTTTGCCTCTGTGCAAAAGTTGTCAAAAAAAAAAAAAAAAAAAAACTCTATGAACTCTTCTTACCTCAAAACAGGTTATGACAGAGAAAAAAATGAAAATAACATTAGAACTTCAGACCAACAGCTTGCACCTAACGAAGCTGCAAAAAAAACCAATCTTCTGTCCCCTGAATTGTTTGCATTTGTTTAATTCTCTGAAGGGCCATTGCCCAGATCTTTTCCCAAAGACCACCCAAGTGGCACAGGGATGGCGGAAACGCTCTATGTCTCCAGCACCGTGCTGCTGCCTCTACCCAGGCATCTTCTCTGCATCCCAGCAGGAGGCTGAGAAACTCAGGACTGATTGGGATGTATGGAGAAAAGAGCTCAGAGGCTCAGGCAGCCTGAACCGGAGATTCTGGGCTACAGAGAAAAAAGACAGAAGCAGCAGGAGATGAAATAGGTCAGACAATCCGACTACATGGTCTGTCTGAAGAGGGCTGGTGTGGATAGGAAGCTGAAGACACAGTTATCAGCTCAGAAGATCTGAGCATCTTGTGGCCTGAATATGAGGATCCCTGCTGGGCAGCGGGTGAGAGGAGAGGAATTCTGGAAAAAGGAGAAGCGTGGGAGGTGCTCCTGGGAACACTGAGATTAGGGAATAGGAGCCTGGCCCCAGGGGGAGCCTAGCCACAGGCATCTCCACAAGGGCTGTCCAGAAAGACACGGCACATGGCACACAACTCCCCGGACTCCACATGGCATGCTGTGTTGTCATCCATCTTCTCCTCTGGACCGAGAGTTCTCCAAGAAGCAGGGATGTGTCCGATTCATTTTTTGTTTCTGCTGCACGCACAGCAGTGCCTGGTATACAGCAGGGACTCAATAACTGTTGAATGAATGAATGAATGAATGAATGAATGAATGAATGAATGAGAAAATAGCAAAGAGAAGCCAAAGCCTACACTGCAAGGTGAATCTGAGGGAGGCCCACGGACGGTCATGCTGAGAGGGCCAGTTGGTAATTTTTAACAAGAGTTTTAAAAATAGCTGTGCTCTTTGATATGTGAACTGTATTTCTGTAGGTGTTTTATAAAAACATAACCTCAAATATGGAAAATAACCCTATGTACAAACGTCTTTACAATAGTGAAAAGTCAGAAATGACTCAGATGTTCAAAGAGGAGCATTCCAACTCACTTGACAGGATATAGAGCAACTAATAAAGTAATTTTTACAAAGTAATAACATGCAGAAGCCCATTTGGGGGGAAGACAGCGTACAAAATTTGTTTACACAGCATGCTCACAAAAATACATGGGAAAGAAAAAGGCTGTAATGAAATATAATAAAATGACAATAACAGCTGTATCTGGGCTATATGCCTAGGAGAGGATCGACGCCTCCTCCTTTCAATTTTCTGTAGTTTCCAAACTTTTATTAATATCACAGCAGTGGTCCCACTTCTAAAAGAGCCTTCAGCCCCAGTCCAGCTCAGCCACCACTCAACGCCTGCCCCTGGCAGGACCTGCCATCTGGTGGGTCAGATGGCCCCAGCTGGGGTGTTTCCAGGAGAACCGTCCCTGGGTTCAGCCCTGCAGTGACTTCTGCCCACAGAAACCTAAATCCAACCTCAGTGGAAATGTTCAGCAGCTCTAAGTCATGGAACTGCACTAAGCTCCGTGTATTTCTCCCTTGCTTTTGAGATTTTATTTCATTTTATTTTATGCAAGTTCCATTTGTGCCAAACTTCTGCCTTAGATCCCAATCGGGACAATTATCTTCCACGTATCTGCATCCTGTCATTTCCACAGGAATTTAGTCCTATCACATCCTGCTCTGAGCTTTGCCTGCTTCTGAGCAGTTGGGAAGAGCTTTCTCAAGGGTCAAACGTTATAGTCTAGCATGACCCTTGTGGTACAGGGGTGGCTTTATCCTTTGCTCTCCCCAGAGGTTTGTCTGGCAGATCACCTGTACTCTAAGCTATGTGTCCTCTTCTCAGTCATCTTTGCTGCCAGGAGCTGAGAGACACGAGCAGCTCGTGATGGAGGAGCTGATGCACAGAACAAGCTCTTGAGTGGATCATGAGCTCTAATTAAAGTTGGGGGTGGGAGGGATGCTAAGGGAGGACGCAGAGCCCAGGATCAAAAATAGACAGGCAAGAGACAGCTAGCAGTGTTTGCTTAGTGGAGGAGAAGCTGTCGAAAAAACAGAGGATGCTTAGCTCTGTCCTAAGCTACTGGGGCTGAGATTATAGAGGGGTCCTGGGTTTTGAAGCAGAGAATAATGGCTTTGGGTCCTGGCCGTATCCCTTACCAGCTGTGCCTAGGAGCAGGGCTCATGGTGGCCTCTTGGTGCATGCTTAGGACTTCAGTAGGGCTCTCAGTGCACAGTTAGGACCTCCACCCAGAAGCCAGCCTGCCTGGGTCCCAGACTCTGAGTTCCCATTTATATACAGTGTCACCTTGGGCCTGTCACATAACTTCCTTGGGCCTCAGTTTCTTCATCTGTAGGATCAGATTAATGAAAACAGTAAGATGTGCCTGGCACCGAATGAGCGGACAACTGCAAGGTGGCACAGCCTGTGTGTGCCACAGGTGGAGTGCTTGCTATTGAATCTAGCACAGCATTTGGCACACACAGGAACACCTCACCCTGACTCTCCCAGCCTCAGTCCTCCCTGACTTCCTGGGTGTATCAGAAGCAGACCTCATCTGTGGTTCTGTCCTTCCGAGTCCTCCTGGCCCCAAATCCGGCTGTCCTTTCTCTCGGCTTCTCAAGTGGGGTGGTTCTAGCTCCATGGTGGCCTTCCTGGAGCTATCCAGCCTAGCTCTCATCTCCTATACCCCTACACCCCTCACCAGGTGAAAAAGGGGTTTCATGGACCCCTGTACCAGGGCTGACTACAGCCTGGGCACTAACAGCCTTCTCTCCAGACACAGACAGCAGAATGCTGGTGACAGAGACCCTGGGTCCCAGCTACTGTGCATCCTCACCTGGCCTTGCTTCTCCCCAACCCTACTCCTGGGCCCTGTAGTCAGGCAGCACATGGGGCTTACAGCTGGCTCTCCTCACCCAGGCTGCATGGGAGCAGAGCCCCCTCACTGGCTCTTCCCTTGTTCCCTCCATCTCTCCCATCCTTGCCCCCAGTGACAGCACAGCAGGCACACAGTGGGCAGGACACATTCTACCACTCCACTACATCCTGGCCCATGCAGCCGCTGAGCCAGGTGAGGTGTCGAATCCAGGATTATGGACCCCCAAAACGAGCCATGAGGAAGCCAGGGCCCTTCCTGCTAGAGCTGCTGGAGTGGCAGTCCATGAGCGAACATTCTAAGAAAATTTGACCCTCAGGCCTCTGCCTCCTTCCCAAGGCTTTCACAGGAACAAACAGGGAATTATTCATTCTTCAACCTGGGTGAGGAGGCCCTTCTCCTTGGGACCCCACACTCACATTGTCTTTGCTGTTCCCCAGAAGCATTATTCATTTTATTTTATTTTATTTTATTTTATTTTATTTTATTTTATTTTATTTTAGATGGAGTTTCACTTTTGTCACCCAGGCTGGAATGCAATGGTGCAATCTCAGCTCACTGCAACCTCTGCCTCCCAAGTTCTAGCGATTCCCCTGCCTCAGCCTCCCGAGTAGCTGGAACTATAGGTGCTTGCCACCACTCCTGGCTAATTTTTGTATTTTTAGTAGAGAGGGAGTTTCACCATGTTGGCCAGGCTGGTCTCGAACTGTGATCCATCTGCCTTGGCCTCCCAAAGTGCTGGGATTACAGGTGTGAGCCACCGTGCCTGGCCAGAAACATCATTTATAATGGTAGCCATTAAAAATGTAAGGATGAGCAAATGAGCAGATGTTGGGCGCAACCTGATTTACCTTTTCTGAAAATCTATTTTCCCATTAGGAAGAAAATTGATAACAGTTTCAATATAGACTTAAGAGAAGCCACTCATTGAATAATTTTATTTGATCATTTTTTCCGGCATATACAAAATTACACAAAAGAAAAAAGAAATTTATTATACAGCTCCGTGTACAAAGGGCTTGCAACTGGGGTCAGATCTTATTGCTTTTGGCCAAAAGCCCATGATAGAATTTAGACTGAAGAGTGTATAAGCTGTGATCCTCAGAGTGGTACAGGGTATGTTGGGGCCCCACTAGAAAGATCTTTAGCATTTCAAAGCTTGTTCGTAAAAGGAGTCTTCATAGTACCCACCGTATTGATTTATCTGGGCTGTCTAAAAATCTCTTTAGCTCCAATGTTTTGAAGAGCCACTGCATAGAAAAAGTGGATCCAAAAGTGACGAGTCTGTCTGTATCAGCAGTTAGGAACCAGCCTTCTGTGGGATTGATTTCCCTGAGTGCTACTCAGAGTAACAAGGGATTCTGGGTGTAGATCTAGGACGAGAGACAATATGGGAATTCCACTACTTTCAGGATGGAGGTGACACCTATCCTGGCCTCTAACATTGAGTTGGGTTAGGAAAAAATCTTTTGATAGTTCAAATATGTTCCACCCTTCACCTTCAAAAGCATTTTCCCCTGCAAAACTGGTTTCTGTGATGTCTCAAAACCATGAGTGCCTTCTCTGTGCTCCATCGCCCATGGGCCTGCTGACTCCCCAAGAAACTCCTGTTCATGAAAACCCCTCAGGGGAGAAAGCACATGCTAGTAGGGCAGGGAAGGCACTAGAGTGTGCCCAGGTCCACTGGCCTGGGGCAGGTGAGGCCTGGGGGTAGGAAAGGACCTGCCTGTATCACACCATCAATGGTGGCCTGGCTCTGGCCGCTCTTCTCTTAGACCCATGCCTTGTAAGCCCCACATCAGGGTGACTTCTGCTTCTCCCAAGAAGGCCAATTTTTTCCTTTCAAAAGTGAATTTGATTTGAGAAAAGAGTAAAAGTTCACTTAGAGCCAAGTCTAGAAAAGGAGGTGAGCAGTCATGGGTGAAAGCCAGTCAGGTTAAAAGAGTCTCAGGCCAGGCATGGTGGCTAACACCTATAACCCCAGCGCTATGGGAAACCAAGGTGGGAGGACTGCTTGAGACCAGGAGTTTGAAATCAGCCTGGGCAACATAGTGAGACCCTGTCTCTAAAAATCTGGCTGGGCATGGTGGCACAGACCTGTAAACCCGATACTCCGGAGATTGAGGTGGGAGGATCACTGAAGCTGAGGAGTTTAAAGTTACAGTGAGCTATGATAGTGCCATTGCACACCAGCCTGGGTGACCCTGTCTCTAAAAATAAAACGTTTAAAAGGGAGTCTTTCCTGTGATTACCTTATGAACAGCTTATTCCCTCTGAATTTCATTTCTGTAGAGTCCACGCTTGAAAACTAGTCTGTGATGTGACTGAAATGGCCAATGTGAAATAGTTCTCAGGTTTGTCACCCGCCTATCCTATCTGTCTCTCAGGATGCGCCATGTAGCAAGGTACTGCTCTCTCATCCTTCTGTCCTTTCCGTACACAGTTCTGACCTCACCTCTGTTCATTTTCTCTCCTGAAACGGTACACACTTAAAGAAAAACACAAGTTCGATTTGATACAGGCATAGACTGTCTTACAGACAGAGACTCGCTTCCCAGATCTTTGCTCTCTAGTCTCCTTTCACTAGAGTTAGCAAATATCTAATTCCCAGAGATGCAAACCAACAATTTGAGAACTGAAAATGATCTTTGTTTCACCTCTTCAATTGATCAAATACTTGCCGAGGTCATGGAAAGAAGGCATTGACATTAAATCAGACAGCCCCAGCTGGAATCCCGGCCTTGTCAACATCTCATGGAGAGCCAGACAGAAGGAAGGGTCCCAGGATGGAATGGAGGGAGTGTAGAAAAGGAAGTGACTTCCCACTGAGTGACAGGCACTAAGCTGGGCACCTTCACGTGCTCTGCTGTGTGGCGGATGCTGTAAGTGTCTCACTCCAGATCAGCATGGCACCTCCAGTTTGAGCCACAGCAAGTGGACAATTTCTAGCACACATGCTAACATATCCCAAGGTACAAGCCTTTGGTCTCTTTGCTTCTCTGCTTCTGAGCTTTCTCTGAAAGCACAGCATCTCACTCAGCTCATGTGCTACCTGGAAATATGGGAAGCTGTGGCTTCCTAGAGCCAGTAGACACACACTCCAAACGTGTGGGTTTTAAACAGACAATTCTGGGTGACTCTTCTCAGAGGTTCCTGCAGAGCTGAGTCTCTGCTATCTATAGAAGCTGTCTTGCTAATACACATCTCACAGGCTTTTTGCTCCCTCACTCTCCCTACTCCCTCACTGGCATCATCTCCAAGGCTCTGCTTGGGGGGAAGCTCAAACAAAAGCAACTCCAACAAAAACAGGAAGAGCTCTGCAATCTATATTCTTAGCTGTCTTCTCAGAAAGGTGATTGCTCCAGAATCGCTTGAACCCAGGATGCGGAGTTTGCAGTGAGCCAGGATCATGACACTGCACTCCAGCCTGGGTGACAGAGTGAGACTCCATCTCGGAAAAGAAAGAAGAAGGAAAGAAGGAAAGAAAGAGAGAGAGAGAGAGAGAGAGAAAAAATAAAAAAGAAAGAAAAGAATGCTGTCAAGTAAAAGCCCGTTTTGTCTGCTGAGCCCCCAAATGATTTGGATGTGAATTCTGAGGAGAAGAATTTGAAGTCCCTGTGTTATCTGGTGCAGATGGGAGGAGGGAGGAGAAGAAAAAGAGAAGCCCCCCACCCTGCCCAAAGAAGTTAGGACCTCAAGGCAGAAATGGTGAAGAAAATGCAAGCTCCGGGGAAATCAGAATCTGGAATCATGCAAGGTTTTCATGGCAAGGGATTGGGGTGAGCCATCTGCCACCCCACTGGTGGAGCAATGAGCTCCTCTTCCCCGCATGGCCCAGCTGAAGTCCTTTTAGTACTGCCAGGAGGCACCAGCTGAAGATATGAGGGATGGGGTTGGGAGAGCTGCAGAATTGGTCCACAGCGGGAACCAGAATCCAAATCTGGGCACCTCTGCCTCTAAAACCTGAGCTTTTCACAATGCCATGATGCTCCAACGTAAAAACACAATTTAAAAAGTCAGTGAAGGGGTTAACCTATCAATAACATCTGTCTCCTGGGCGTTTCAAGAAGGACAGTTGCCCTGGAATGGAGCATTATTTCCATGTTGTGTTTCCAAGCATACTGGTAACAATTTGGCCACTTGGAGTGGCTTTTCATGTTCCCTGAACTAGCTCTGGATGTCTCCTCTATTAATTGCTGGAGGGGAAAATGAGAGTTGTAGTGTCTAGTGAATGTGGAAATGAAGCCAAATGGCTGCTAAGACTATTAGTGCAGAGACGGTGAGGAGCGCACACCTCTGCTCCCATGATCTTGTTTGGACTAAACAGAATCCTCTTTCTTATGAAGTGTTTCACCAACTTGCCTGAAAAGCTGGCTCAGCAGTGGGGTCTCTCCTTGTGTGCTGCACACAACAGCCAGAGCTGGGGGTCACTCTGCTGGCACCCAGACCCGCAGAGACCCTGGCTGCTCCAGTTGGAACCATTTTCCCTTCAGGCTCCCTGAACGCTACACGATCTGTCATTATCCACGTTCACCTGCCCCGCTCACAGCATGTGTTCTGAAGGCAGGGACAAGGCTCCTCACTTAGTCAACACAACAGATAACGGGTATAGAGAGCTTCTATTCCAGACACTGTTCTAATGACTTTTCAATATTAACTAATTTGCTCCTCAAAAGAAAAAAAAAAAAAAAGCAAGAAAAAACTCACTTAGGAAGTAGTGCCAACCACAAGCTGGCACTGTTAGTACTACCCATTTTCCACATGAGAAATGGAGGGATTGCTGCATTATCCTCCTCAGGTAACACAGCTGGTAGGGGAGAGGACAGCAGAGCTGGGATGTAAACCAAGGTGATCTGATTTGGAAGCTGGATCTTAGCCACTATTCTAGAATATCTCTAACAAGGGAGAATCAATAGTGGTGGGTGGCATTGCATCTGATACCTTCCCCACCTGTCTGAGCATGGTGATGATCTGGAAAAACTTTTCTCAACCCCAGTGACCTAGTCCATCCAGGTTGCTGTAACACCGCACCATAGGTTGGGTGGCTTACAAGCGGACATTGATTCCTCACAGTTCTGGAGGCTGGAAGTCCCAGATCAAGGCACCAACAGGTTCAGTGTGTGATGAGGTTTTGCTCTCTGATTCATAGATTGTGCCTTCTAGTTGTGTCCTCACATGGTATTAATAAAAGGGGGAAGAGGGCCCCCTGAGGCTTCTTCTATAAGGGCATTAATCTCATTCATGAGGCTCCACCCTCATGACCTAGTCACTTTCTGAAGGTCCTACCTCCTAATACCATTGCCTTGGGGGTTAAGATTTCAACATATGAATCTTGGGGGACACACATTCAGATCATAGCACCAAGCCATTCCAGATCTGATAAACCTGTTTACACTCTGTACTGGAACCCCAGAAGCAAGGGGGAACCGAGTGGAGGGAGGTGAGATGTAAGCTCATCAGAGGGCCTATTAGGACTGGTCAGCACTGATCCAAAAGATCCAGAAGCTTCAGATGCCATACGCCATCCTTCACCCCGACTCGAGCTCAATTTTCCAATCTCTAACGTGGGAAAAAAGGATGTCTCAAAGGAAGTTAACTGGAACAGAATAAATACTGAGAAAACCACAGCTACGCACATCAAAGTAAATCTGTGGTAAATCAAAGACAAATAGAATATATTAAAGAAGTTAGAGAGGGGAGAATGTTAGATTACCTTAAGGGTCCAACAGTAAAACCAAACATAGACTTCTCCATAAAAATAATGGAAGCCAGTGGGTAATGGAACCACATCTTCAAAGTTCTGAAGGAAAATCAACTACAGACCTAGAATTCCATATCCAGCAAAAATAACAGCAAAATAAAGGTATTTTCAGGCAAACAAAGAGAGTTTACCACCAGCAGGCTGACAAGCAAGGGAAATACCAAAAGGTTTTCTTTTGACAGAGGAAAATGATTCCAGATAGGAGCAGAGAGACACACAAAAAAGAATAATGAACAACAGGAAGAGGAAATATGTGAGTAAACATAAATAACTCTTGACTGTGTAAAGCAATAATAATGATGGCTTGTGGGATTTATTAGGTGTAGAATTGAAATGCATGACAACAAAAGCACATAAGGCAAATGGGTAAATGGAATTGAAGAATAACATCCTTACATTGCATGGGAAGTGGTAAAAATATCAGTCTACATCATGTTAGTAAGTCAGTGATGCCTGTTGCAATCTCCAGGATAACCTTTAAAATTAGTAAAATAATACATAAGAAACTTGCTAGTAAAGGAGAAAGAATGGAAGAATTAAAAATAATTATAATCCAAAGGAAGCAAGAAAGAAGAGAAAATAGAACATGAAGCAGGCAGAAATAGCAAAGAGTGACAAAAGGGGTAATTATAGACGTAAATATCTCTGCACATGCAGTAAGTTTAAACATAATATATATTTCAATAAAAGACATAGATCATTAGACTGGAGGGAAATAACTACTTACAAAAGACACACTTTGGATGATTCAGAACAGTTTAAAATAAAACGTTGAAAAAGACATAGAGGATCTCTAAATGCATATTAAGTGAAAGAAGTCAGTCTGAAAAAGTTGCATACTGTATTATTCCAGCTATATGACATTCTGGAAAAGGAAAGCTATGGAAACAGCAAAAAGATCAGTGGTTGACAAGGGCTGCGGGGAGGGAGGAATGAATAGGCAGAGCACAGACAATTTCAAGAATTTTTAGGGCAGTGAAACTATCCTTTATGATACTATGATGGTGCATATATGTCATTGTATATTTATCAAAACCCACAGAAGGTAAAATACCAAGAGTGAACCCTAATATGAACTATGGACTCTGGGTAATAATGATGTATCATTGTAGTCCATCAATTGTAACAAATGTGTAATTTGTTTTTGACAATTATAACAAATGCACAATTTGTTGTTGATAATTACAATAAATGCACCATTGTGGCAATGTTGAGAATGCATAAGTTGAGGAAAGGGTGTGTGTGAAATCTCTGTATCTTCTCAATTTTGCTGTGAACCTGAAATTGCTCTAAAAATAAATAAATAAATAAAGTTAATGGAAAATGATGTGTCAGGCAAATATGAAGTTAAAATAAAAGTTGAAGTTGTATTAATATCAGACTTTGAGGCAAGAAGCATTATTAGAAATAAAGAGGGACATTTGATAATAAGAAAAGTTTCACCAGAAAGATGAAATAATACTAAAATTTTACATTTAACAACATAGCCTCAATACATGTACAAGAATAATTGACAAAACTAAAATGGAAATAGGCAAACCCACCCTGGCTGGAGTGCAGGTTTGTGATCATGACCCACTGCAGCCTCTCAACCTCCCTAGGCTCGGGTGATCCCTCCCATCTCAGCCCCACACCGGGTAGCTGAAACTATAGGAGATCGAGAGAGACAGAGACAGAGAGAGAGAGAGAGGAGATACCGAGGTCTTACCTTGTTCACTTTCACTTGCTTATTGTTATTGTTGTTTATCATTTGTTATTATGTTTACTGTTGGTTGGTTAGTTTATTTATTTTGAGACAGGGTCACTCAACCTTTTGGGCTCAAGCCATCCTCCTACCTCCGGTCCCCCACCCCCACTCCGGAAGCTGGGACTGCAGGAACATGCCACCACAATGGTTTACATTTTTATTTTTTAATATTTTGTGTGTCGTGTGTGTGTGTGTGTGAAGATGGGGTTCCGGGTTCCACCATGTTGCCCACGCTGGTCTTGAACTTCCTGTGTTGTTTTTCTAGCCCTACTTTCAGTTTGTTTCTACAGTACTTACTTGGAGTTGCTGTTGTTTTACTTCTTTGTTCTTTTCTCTCTCTCTCTCTCTGTTTTTGTTTTTGTTTTTATTTTCCTGCGCTCCTTTCTGCACGCTGAAGTTTGAAACATCTCCGTCAGTAACTGGCAAAGCAAGGAGATCATAAAATTCAGCAAGAAAATAGAAGATTGAGCATCACAGGTAAAAAAAATTACTCAATTGGCTAATATGGAATATGTCACCCAGTATTTTAGAACTGTTCCCAATCTAGGCTTGAAGTGAGGAGAGAAGGGAGTGCTTATAGGAAGGACGGTTGCCTTGAGAAAGGCAACAAGCTCAGGACAGCTGCTAGGAGGGATCTGAGAGCTGACATCCCAACCTCGCTCTTTTCCCACCCAGGGCTCTCCACTGGCCAAGTCCAAATGAAGACCACTGATACAAACCCTATACTTCAGCCTCCCTGGGCAGAGAGTAGTGGAGAAGGGTGGGCAAGACAACTAGGGGTGGAGGCAAAGGAAAGTTGCCCAGCACAGGTGTGCAAAAGGAAACTTTCTTTTCTACCACTCAATGTAATTTTTGATTCCCTACCCCATCCTATCTTTTATACCACTTAATTGATTCATTTTCCTATAAATTCAGTCTTTGTATGATTTCTCGTCACTTAAGATTTTAAACTCATTTATATCAGGATTTTTCCCTTTTCAGGAATTCTTCCCTTTTCATGGCTTTTCATTGCTCCTGGAGCTGATGCTAAACGCCGAAGTTTATACAGCAACAGAGGAGAGAAAAGGAGGAAGATGCCCTCTTCTTACTTTCCATCTCTATCAGGTCTCCAGTGACTTCATGCTTTAAATAGGATTCATCCCACTTGGTCCATGGCATAGACAGTGTACGGTGGGTGCTCCCTTCAGTGATGGCTTCTCTGATCTGCAGGCCCCAGTAGCCCCCTGGGGATATCAGACTACTGACTCAGCCATATCTCCAGCCAGTTTCTACTAGAAATTGTCCCAGCTGCAAGACTCTATGTCTCAGCCACTAGACCCTGGTTAGACCCACTGTAGTGTGTCTATGTCGCTACTAACTCCTTGGTCCCACTAGGCACACCTTAAAAAATTGGGGTACTCTACCAAGACTTGGGAACCTATGGGGTGTATTGGGAAAAGGGACTATCTCTAACCCTGTCATAGCTAGGTATGCCTACCCCTCAACCTCTCTGTGGTCCCAGGACAGCATAGTAGATGTCACTAGCTTGCTGCTGGGCTACATGGCAGAAAGCATGATACAAGTCCTCTCTACTCCCCATCCTGAACTTTATCAGGAGAATGTAAACAGTGGAGTGTCCCCAATATGCCATGACTGATGGGGGCACCTCAGTTTGGAGGGTCTTTGCAGACCCATGTGGAGGGAATGGGGAGAGCCAGAGACTGGATTACATCTCCTTTCAAGGATTTCCCAGTGCACACTCGTACAGTAGCACTTGGACCCAGAGTCTGGCCTCTGTGTTCTCTGGTTCAGTGTGACAAGTGTCACTGCAGCTCAGGGCAACCCCATATCATGGACATGGCACGGAAGAAAAGGATGCTGGTGAGTGTCTCATGAGTCCCCCTCACAGTGCCTAAGGTGAACAATTGGTTCCACCTCTTGCATCCTCAGTCTCATCCCCACTCACCTTCTGAAGGTTTTAATTTCTTTGGCCACCCTTTTCTCTCCTACCGCATCAGCCTCTCCCCTCTGCTGGATCACCCAACAGCACACGTGCTCTAGGGGCTATCTGAAAGCCAATAAGAATCCCCTTGGCTTTCCTCCTTCTCTCCACTACTGTCCCATTTCTCCACTCCATATCAGCAAAACCTCTCTCTAAGGCCATCTACACTGGCTCTACACTGGCTCACCTGCTCTGCTCTCTTCAACTCGCTCCAGGTGGGCACGCATCTCTGTTGCTTTACTGAAATTCCTTTTGTCAGTGTCACCATAAACCTGGCTAGAGTCAAATCTTTTTATTGCCTCCTGAACGGCACAGTGGCCACAGCTCTTTCTTGGACACAACCTCTCTTGGCTCCTGTAAACACCACCCTCTCCTCGTTTTCCTCCTCTCCCCCGAAGCTCTCCTCTCAGCCTCATTGGCTGTCTTCCTCTGTTACCCCCAACCTATGAACATTAGCACCAAAGCATATTTCTGGTCTTTCTTCTCCAAGTCTCACCTATGCTTTCCTCCAAATGCTACTGGTTCTCATATTTACTCACAAGCCAATCCCCACTTCCAGACTGCAAAGCTCCCTACCCAACTGCCTTTCTGATCTCTCCACTTGCATCTCCAGCTGGCATCTGAATCCTAGCAGGATGAAAATAGAATTTCTGGCTGGCCCCTTCCCTGCAGCCTGTCTCTTGACCTAATTATCCACCCAGCTAGCTTCTCCCACCCCTAATTTGGGAGGTGCACACATTGATCCCGTCTCCTTAATGCACCATGCTTGAGCATCACAACAGACCCCATAGCTGGCATCTTCATGGTGACCTCCCTGGTCCAAGTCGTCACCCCCTCTCACTGGAGCTATTTCAATACCTCAATACCTTCAACTCCTCTCCTGGCACCTTTCCTTCCCCTCTATGATCTCTTCTCCATCCAGCAACCACAGTAATGCATAAACATATCAGAAACATGAAGCAGCTCATGTTACTCCCCTGCATAAATGCTTCAACACTGTCTGTGTAGTCTTAGTATAAAATTCAAACTCTATGCCAGGTCTTCTTTATATACTTATTTTTTCAGTGATGGTCAAACCTTGAACTCTTATTTCATATCTCAAAAACCAAAAATAAGCTAACAAATAAATAAATAATCTGAGCATACTCATATTTAATTTGAATTCTAAAAGCTTCATTGAGGGACTTGAATGAGTTATCTTCTAATACATGTGACGAATGTGGTTAATTTGTCATTTTGATTTTAGCCAGCCAAATCTTATCTAGTATCAACATGAGTATCAAGTTTCACAAAACTAAAGCCAAAATGGTTGTTTTAAACTGTCCCAGTTGCAAGACTCTATGTGCATTCTCTCATATCAAAATTTCTCCTAAGTAGCAAAGTACCTGTAGTGGGAAAGTATTTATGGGGCAACGATTAAATGGAAAGTTGAGGCTGGGAGGGAAGAGAACTTGCCCAAGGGCAGGTGACCAACAGATAGCAGAGTTGGGGTGCAACCTCACGTCTGTAGAATGCTAAGGCTCCATGGGTTTCTGAAGCTGGTCATGGTCACCACTGCAACCGCTGAGCTCTGTACTCTGCAGCAGGGACAGTGCCAGGGGCTTTGCACCCATGCCATTTAGTCCTCATGACAGCTCGATGTGGTGTGGACTATCATTATTACCATTTGCTCACAGGGCAACTGAGGGTAAGGACTATATTAATTGACCAAGTCAAACAGCAGTAAATAGTGGGGCCAGGATTTGAACCCACATCTATGTGCTGCTACCAACCATATTCAAAAGCATGCCCCTATCCTGTCACCCCTACAGCTCTGGGACCTCAAAAGAAGCAAGCTTTATTCCCTGGGAGTACAAGACAGTTTGGGGCTGGCAGAAAGAATGGCACATGGGACGGCCTCTGGCCAGAACAGTGGGGTTTCAACCAGTCAGAGGAACCCCATCAGAGCAGCTCGGGAAGACCCAGCTAGGGAGCCAGGACTGGAACCTTGATAGTTCAGCATTTCTCTTCCCATCTTCCCCTCTAGCTTTGAAGCTATGGGAGTCTTCTGAGGCAGCTTTCAGTCTGGGGAGAAGCTTGAGGTCACTAGTCCTCAGCCTCCTGCCCCTTAGATAAATAGTCATCTGTTCTCACCTATGTTCTCTAGCCCCCCAGAGTGGAGATGTCATGGGACTTCTGCCACCTGATGCAGGTGACTTCCTTCTGTCATGATAAAAAACCCCCTTAGGATCCCACAGCTCTGTGCCCCTCCTGCAGCATAAGAATGTCTTTCTACTCTCTCACTCAACACCATGGCCCAGGAAGCTGATTGTGAGCCTCAGAGCAACCAGTGAGGGTAGCGCTTGAAGGTCAGACCATCACTGTCATGAGCAGCCGGATGGTTAGGTATGTGGGCTCAGGCAGGGCCCCAGAGGAGCCTAGACCTGGGGAGCTAGAGAGTAGATGCAAGGACAATTCAGAGAACCCTGGGAGGACACCATGCCTGTGTTTGTAGGTTCTCATCATTCTGTCTAGCTCTGGTCCTGCCTCCATACCGCATGTGCTGTTTGTGGGAAGAGTGTCCTCAGGTCACAGCATTAATGCAATGACTCCCTAGCATGCTGTGTACCCTTGGAAAGTCACTGCATTCTTCTGCTTCCTTGTTTGTAAATGGGATAGGTGGCCAACAAACATACTTCTCCAGACCTTCCGGCCACATTTGATATAACATGTTCTCCTGAAGCCCTGTCACCTCCTCCTTAGAGAGACGTGATGAACACCAGAATCATGGACTATCAGGGGATCTGTGTGGGTTTGCTGGAGTTGCTGCCTTACTAAGTGGTTCTGGGCAGACTAATGTCTATCTCAGAGCCCCAGTGTGACAAGGTGATTTCTAAAGGAAGGCCCTTCTAGTCTTAAGATTAGGTGACTGTGTTACTCCTTTCTTGCATTGCTATAAAGAAATACCTGAGACTAATTTACAAAGAAAGCAGTTTTAATTGGCTCATGGTTCTGCAGGTTATACAGGAAGCATGGCACCAGCATCTGCTCAGCTTCTGGTGGAGCCTCAGGAAGCTTTTACTCATGGTGGAAGCTGAAGTGGAAGTAGATATGTCACATGGTGAGAGAGACAGCAAGGACTGGGGAGGTGCAATGCTCTTTTAAACAACCAGTTCTCACATGAACTCAGAGTGAGAACATGCTCATTACCAAGGGCATGGTGCTAAGCCATTCATGAGGGATCCACCTCCATAATCCAACACTTCCCACTAGGCCCCACTTCTAATGTTGGGGATTATGTTTCAACATGAGATGTGGAGAGGACAAATATCCAAACTATATCATTCCACCTCTGGCCTCCCAAATATCATGTCCTTCTCATATTGCAAAATACAATCGTCCCTTCCTAATTGTCCTTAAAAATCTTATCAAAATCCAAAGTCAAAAGTCTTATCTGAG